TCTGTTCAATTCGATTTCAACTGCCAACACTTTAGCTAATAAATACACTTTTATTTACTAAACGCAATTACTCCAAGACCTATAGGCCGGAGTCATTGGTGCTACTCCGTTCGCTTGGAGTGTCGGATACCGTTTCTGCCACTTTTCCGGGATGATTTCAGCAAGGACTTTTTTATAACGTGGATTTCGAAGGGAAGTGTGTCGACGAGTTAGCAGTAAGGGGCCCCTTGAGGATCTGTTATCAAGTGTGCGGGGCCGATAGTTTTATACTGACAGGATAACATATTTGATTGAATATACTAGCATGATTGCCTAGACACACATGTATATCGCATAATATTGGCAGAGTGATCAATCATGATCACATATACTCGAGCATGGTCGAGCATGATCTGACCGCGTCCATCACCAGTTCAATAGCTTCTTAAGCCCTTCATTGGCATTTTTTCAAGCCACGGTTTATAAGGTAGGATATATCAGACTGCAGTTTATAGGGTATGCACTGCCAAATGCTTCTAACCTTACAAACTCTGACGTGCCAAACCCCCCTAAACCTCCCAACCACATACCGGCACTAATGTAGGTGAGAAGAGCCCACGCATCACCACAGCAATTACGGTAGTCACAAAAAGAGACCTAAAGTTCACAAACCCCTTCAAAGCAGTATTTCTAACATGACCTCCGATTGCCCTCACGCACATTGACTAATAAAACCCCACAAACCTCAGACGCTTTCCCCTTCTGCATCGGATAGATATTGCTGCTAATACCTCTTGCCATATCCAGCCCAAGATTCACTATCCGGCAAACCCTTCCCCGGATCCCCCTTGGTCCACCTCAGATATTCCCCAATTGGCAATTTATCCGCACGTATCTCGCGGCGATAAACACACTCGAAAACAAGCTGCCAAACCGGCTCATGATACCAGTCCTCTGCCAGTTTTTCGCCTTCTCCTCCACTGTCGTGCTCATCGCTCTCATTCTCAAGCCGCTCCTCCTGGAAATCATCCTCCCCAATTCCTCCACCATACTCCCCAATGATAGCCCAATCCAGGCAGTCTAGGGCTCCACATCTCGTCGAGGCAGTGCGATCAAAATCAGCCACACCAAAAAGATCCTCAGTGCTTGGGCTTATCTCTCTTTCCCACCGATCACAGTCCATTCCCAACTTGTTATTGCGACAATCCTGCTCCCTCTTATGGTTACGTCGCAAGGGCGCAAGAATATGAAATTCCTTAGCGACGGCGTTCGTGGAGCAATAAACCCCAATTGTGTATCATTAAAAGGCCTATCGATTTCCTCCTTCTCATATGCTACAGCGGACTTATCCTTCAGACCCCGGCCGACCATTTCCTTGGTGGTAGCCCGGGAAGTCCTATCCTGGGCCTTCCAAATAAGACATATTCCGATCACAGCCATTTGCCTAACGAAAACCCTCCTCTGCCTCCCATTCCAGAGCTCCATGTCCACCTCACTCCCCTTCTTTCCAGGGATGTACTCCATCGCGATCATAGGGGGGGATCCAGACTCCCAGTACGTGTCTGGCACAATGTGGCTCCCCGGCATCCAGCTATTGAAGGCTGATCTAGCGCGTTCCGTCTCAGCCATCTCATCGATGAGGTCACTATGCGACTGAAAGCGCTTCAGAATGAATTTCGTGTTGTACGTTGGAGGGTAAGGGACTCGCAGGATTTCTGTGGAAAGATATTTTTGCGTTATAACCCCTGACGCGTGGATATATGCTTCGACTAGCTCGGCTATGTTTTCTGGTCTCTGATCTCGGATCGCGAGAGGGTTCATTTTTTTTTTTTTTTTTCTTTCGAGGGGGTTGTTTGAGGGGTTTGAAGATTCGTGTTGATCCGTTGGAGCTAAGCGTCAAGAGGGTGGTGGTATGCTTCGGTCAGGGACAGAATCCTAGGTAGTACAAAAGCGCTAAACTATTTTCATCAATTCATCCATTTGCGGTAATAAGCAAGGATCGTAGATTCGAGACCACCATAGAACTAGACCCCAAACAAAGAGTAAAACTGCCTGGGTATCCTTTTTCCCCCACTATCTCAGTGACGCATCATCCTGAAGAGTATGCTCTCGATGGCTCCTCCTTGGTTGATACTAAAAAATTAAAAATTAAAAAAAAGGTTTCCAGAAGCACCCATACCGCCTATGACACCTCCATTTCTACCATCAGAGAATCAAATCCACAAACAACCAGAGCGTCAACCCGAAGCAAGATGGCCTCATGATGATGTTATGATATGTCATCACCTCATCCACAGAGTTCAAACATAAACCCTAGCATATAACACCAATCCCAGTATAATAATATGATAATAATTATGATATCCATGCCAGAAATCGGTTATCATGTCGTCCAGATAAAAGCCGGGCGAAACCAAGTATTAATACGACCTTTTTATAAAAAAGATATGCATGAGCATTGGTACAGAAATTAGGTTAATCGAGTACAGTAATACTCCTTAGGGGCGCTGAGAGAGAGAAAACGAAATGAAAGTGGTAATGGCTTCTCGCAGTATTGATATTTCAATCGCTAGAAGTGTGGAGGGGATGGAGGGTGCATAGTAGAGTAGATAGATGAAGTTTGTTTGTATCTATGTGTGTAGTTAATATATAATGAGTATGCAGCCGATATGTAGCCGATATATAGTAACCTATATACCATAGCATAATACTCACGAACCCTAGTATCCAGATGCAATTGGACTTGAGAAAGCATTTGGATCGCAGAAAGACAGATACTAGTCTCAGGAGAAGGTATTAGCTGCACCTTTGCTTAGATTGCCCACGGGACATAGCCAATGTCCTGCGAAACAACAGAATGCACAGGATAAAGCAGGCTGCTACGACCTATTTCAGGACATACTAGATGCGCGGGACATAACAAATATACTAGAATCCATATTATGCGGTACCTCCGAAAACCGCAAGGTCAAAAAGTACGGAAAACTAGAGTTGTGATTCAGGGGCACCAAGGCGAAACCCCCAGGTCCCCCTTAAAGTTAGTTGCCCGGAGGCTGGGAGGTACACCACAAGGTGTTAACTACACTGTATGATTAGAGCAAGTGTGATATAAATAAGCACACCTTGCGACACAAATACTCGAGTTCTGTGTCCCATCTGATTACTCTACCCCAAGAATGTAGGATCCAAACCAATTATCCATTCTTATAGATACAGATTGACGAATAGAAATCGAAACAAGCCTTGCAATGGGCTGGCCCAAATGATGGGTGGCCCGACCTGAACCCGACCCGACCCGAACAAAGCACGGGCCACCTTGAAAGCCCAAACTATTCAAGAGCAGGGATTGATTCAATTTTATTTAGATAAATCAATTGTTTTAACTTTAGAGACACTGAAGCTGCGCTGATTCTAGGAAAAACAGGTGAGAGTTGGTGACCCGGATGAAGGAAAACAAGAAATATCTAGCCACACCCATGAGCGCGGCGTCAACTGTTTTCGTTTCGCTAGCAGTATCGAGGTTGGAACCAGAGAAGGACTCCGTGACGATAAAACACAGTTCACACGATCGTCCTTATCGTGTAGGTTAACACGAGAGATTTTGCTTGGATCATCAAGTAGAATTTGAGAGGAAGTTCCGGGAGAGCTAGGAAAGGAAGGAGAGGAGAGTTCGCTAATATCGTCTTCAAGGCCTGGCATAATTAAAGAAGTAATAACTGTGGAGAGTAGAGGCTAGCGATATTCCCAAATCCAGGGGTAGGATGTTCCCAGACAGAAATGACCTGTGAAGAATCAGACTGCACGATGAAAAGGGGTAATTAACTGGAAATTTCTCAACAAAATATCATACTAGCTTGGGGATGACGCAAGTCCTGGGGCTCAAAGCACTGCGGTTTAAAATTAGAATATATGAGTGATATTGTGTGACTTGATAAACATAAGGGACAATTCTTTCAGGTTTTTTTACGGGCTTCCTTGTGCTACCCAGGCTAGCCGCCTGGGCGACTCGGCCTAGGCCCAATTTCTAGGCTTGAATCGAAATACATATCAGAGTGCGCTTTGGCTGTCGCGAATTCCAGCCCCGCGTAGTAACAGGCACACAGATAGCAGCTAGTAGATGATATCAGGGCATTGTACCTATGAATCGGACGCAGAAACTTTTGTTTTTACTGATAAGAATGGACAAATATCACCCTGAAGGTTCTTTTGAGGTTCATTGATCTCCTACTAGTAAATGTTGAGGCAATTATCACTACCAACGGGAGACATACAGCTTGATGGACAGCTTTTAATAATCTAAAATGTTTGTCTTCTCTTTTCATCTCTTCTCCCTCACCTAGCCCAGTTTATATAACCTTACAATTATCTTCAAGTTTAGAAAACCCCTCATAAATTTCCAGTTTAAAATCAGGTCCTAAAGGAACCAGGTGCAATCATACTTCTTTTTTTCAGTACGATACGATAAACCCTTCATGTCACCTCAGCGCCCCAAGAACGAGCGGATTAGGATTCCCCGATCCCGGTCCGATATCGGTGCCATGTTGACGACGGCTTATAGCACAAAACTGGATATATCTTACACAACCAACGAAATACTTTGTAAAATCCCGTATAACTTAACAAGCTTCACCACGCTCGGTACTCTTTCAGGCTCCAAGTTACCGCTATAAGGAAAACACCAACAACCGACCTTCCTGGGAATTTTTCCGTCTCCGAGTATGGAGGTCCGCCCCTGCTTCTGGAGAGTTACGGTGATAGGGTACGCATGTACTGCACTATGCCCAATGCGTGCCGGAGTAGCGTAATATCATACCACAAAAGTAGCGAATCCTCTATCATACTCGCCCCAGGCAGTGAGTTACCCAGAAGCCGAAACCCGCAAGAGATATGAAAAAAAAGCCCATACGAATTCCTGACCCCCCCCCCCCTGTTTCCGCATACTAATTTCCATAGACAAGCCTGAATTACTATCATACATTGCGTTTTTGTCTCGTTTTTAAACATTATAGGGTTGTCATGGTATTCCCATATCTCAACACAAATCACTACCTTTACCCTTCTTCCAGGCCGTCATTACTCTGGGCATTTTATGCTCAATCCTGGCTTGCAATGCAAAATCAACTCAGCTTAGTCTCGGGCTCAGGAATGGGGGGGGCACGGGGAAATTTTCGAAGCCAAAGCACTTAATGGCCCTCTCACTACATACTCCCAAATGAATATGATATTTCGTGCTTGTAGAGCTAACTCAGAGTGAATTGCACAGGGATATAATGCCCACCTACCAAGAGGTTCAAAGGCCTGCTGAGAATACAACACTCTCACGGTCACAGGTTTATTTTCCCCCCCCCCATTGGTATCAGATGTGAATGCTTATAGAGCAACTGCCGGCATATAGGAAGTTTTTGACAAGCCCGAACACAACCCCTTCAACATCTGCGTTCCCAGCAACCCCCAATCGCTCGTTCGTACGAACAAATACCAACAGCAAGCACCGAGCGCGGTACTCCCATCCGACCCCGCTCTCCGGAATTCTCAGACGATAAAACGCCCTGTTTCAGGCGAAAAAAATTAAAAAAAAGTAGCGAAACGAACGAAGGAACTACATCACCCATCAGTCCCCCTCACTATTCCACTTCGTTATAACTAGACGCAGGAAAAAAATTCTGCAGTGCAACCGCACCACCGCTCACAAGAAATCACTCGACTCTTTCTCCACCGAATTAACGCAACCCCTCCCGAACCCCTCACTCAGAAAAAGCCGCTTCGAATTCCCCACACCCTCACCCAAAAGTGTTCGGAACATGCGCCAACACTCAAAACTCCACCTTCCTCTTCCAAAACCCCCCTCGGAAGACCACGAGCCCCGGCAAGGCTCCGAGGAAGAAAAAAAAAACAGGTGGATTCAAAACCCTGCAATTGGCCTGCCACCGACGCAGTCGCCGTCCCCAATGTCCCGCCCGCGAGCGCAAGGGCCCATATTCCACCCGATAACCCAACAGCGCCCGACATACATCACGCCAGTCATCGAGGAGAGAGAGGGCGGGGAAGATGGCTGAGGTCTAGACCTCAAATTCGCGCAGACCAATCCGCGGCTTCGAAAAAGCCATTCCTTTCGCCGCTCACGTACATGAAGGGCTGCGGGTAAGATGGTACGAGTACTCGTAGAAGAATGAGAATTAGGTTCACACACACATACATACACACACGATCGCCCACCAACCATTTTTTTCCAAACAAAACCGAGATTTCGACCGGCCAATCAATCATTCAACCCCCTCCGAGCTCGATGGGGGGGGCGGGGCGGGGTGAAAAGCCACCGATCGGATAAGGAACCACCAGATTGGTTGAAACAGTGTTCAAGGGGGAACCGATTGGTCGCCTGATTTTTGGGAAGAAGAAAATTTTTGAGGCACGCTCGCTGGTCCTCTCGTCGCGTCCATCCGCCCACCCATCGGTTCGTCCGTTCATGCCGTTGCAGAACCTACTGTAACGCATTCCATGCCATAGCGAGCGCCCGGCATACTCGAGTAGTGAGCCATCTGCAAGTCTGGATGGGGTGATTGGTTGAACTTCGGTTGGGATTTGAATAGTGGCTAGTATTTGGGTGGATGGCTCTCGCTATGGCGTGGAATGCGTCAACTGTCTCATCAAGCAACATTAGTCATCCCGTCATAGTATCTCACTCATTCACTAGCACGCCGCCCAAACAGAGCACATACGGTACCCCATCCAATCCTAAAACAAAGCTGAAGCAAAACTCCACACCATCCCTAGCTTTTCTTCCCTTTTTTTCCCTCTCCACCCGCATCCAGACGAGCAAGGGAGCGTTTTGCGTTATTCCTATTTTATTCACTTATTTCCTATCCACCTGTGGAATGTTGCGAAATGTGCATAACTCGGCTAACCATGCTAGGGCTATCGGTTGAACGCTCCCAGTACGGAGTAATTCAGGAACAGAACAGGGGTCAGGTGACCTGATTTTCGTGATTTGCTTCAGGTTTCATTTCTTTCACTCTTTAATTTTATATCCCCCCCTATAAGAGAAGGGATTCGCGCGAGATGATGCGATGTGCGCGCAGGGCATAGTATGATTTTTTTTTGGGGGGGGAGGTATGCAAGGGTGGAGAGGGTCCCGAAGTGCACGACTATTACGATACTGGATGCGAGGGAGTGGGATACGATGGGGCAGGATAGGGGAGCAAGACCGCGTTTAGAGCGTGGATTTGCATTTTTAGATCTCTACTTTTTTGGAATATCTTACTATATCATCTGGTAATCAAGCTGGGATATAGGAAGAATATTTACACCCAGAGACATACTGGCAGGTCATAAACGGGTGTGGTTCTGGTTATTAATTATGATAACGTATTACTATTCCCGGAGTTATGATAATACAGCAATATCACACGTATTACTAATCATCCTCGTCCCCTTCCTTGACAACTTGGCTCATGGCAATCCAGTTCTCCATTATCCGGCTTCCAGACCTACCCTTCTTGTTCGGCGGGTTCATCTGCCTTGCAGTAGGCGGAGTGGAAGCAGCCGGAGCCCTTCCTGCATTGATGGGCCCGCGACGCTTAACAACAAGGCATAGAATCCGGCTGTAGATATTGAAGCCCTCAAACTCTGTGCGTAGCGGCAACTTCTTTTTATCCTCCGGCTCGTCCTCGCTATTTTCCGACCAATCAGGGTCCGCATCGTCATCCTCATCGCGGATCGTTACAGTCCGTTTCGCGGTCTTCCGCAGACGTTTCGAGGGTGGCTCGAAGGGGTCTGAATCGCTATCGTCACCTAAACTCCCTTCCCCCTCTCTATCTCTATTGCCTGTGTTTGGTTGGGGGTCTGGCGATTTACGCCTGCTCCTTCCGCTAGTGGAAGGGTTTTCCGCCGCGAAGGCACTCGATAACCCCGATGTCTCCAGCAGAGGAGCTTCCGGGATGCTATCAAGGTCGATTATTCCCCCGTCCGAATCATCCTCCTCTCTTCGATGTTGGACCCCCACCCCAGTACCTCCAGTCATCCCACCCACTTCACCACCACTAGTATAACCCCGAAGCGTTTTTCGTTTCGTCATTACAGTGTGACGCGTTCCAGAGTTCGTAAGGAATATAGAAACTTCGTAGTCGTCTAGGATTCTCCAATTGATCAATTAATCACCTCCCATCCAACCCCCCCCCCCTCCCCATCACATTCCGGGGGAAAAAGCAAGAATGCAAACCTTCGACGACGACATCATTAACTGGTTTGGCACTCTTGCCTTTCCCACCACTCCCACGCTCACGCTCTTCCTTGAGCTTCGGTAACACATGTGGTTTGATCGATTGAAATATTCGCGGAAGGACGTTATACCGAGGCGAGAGTAACCAGGTGTGCAGGTGGACCGGATTGTCGAGGTAAATTCGGACTTCTAGGACTCTGTTTTGTTTCGTTAAATAGCGTCAGCAGTGCTCAAGATGGTGCAGTCTGAATTGTTTGGTGGGGGCGACTCCCTGAAAACGGGGGCGAGGGGTGGAAAGATGGGGTTTGTCATACGTGTATTTTGACACGCGACAGTAGCGGCGGAGAACCGGCATTTTGGACAGTGGATATGGCGGAAAGGTGCGGCGAGGTGAGCTATATCGTGGTAAGGTAAGTTAAAGTGTATTATGACATACCCCACTGGTAGTGCTCACGATGGTGGTGTTGGGGATGGGGTTGTGGGGGTGCGATGCGCGATCGCCAAGAGGCAGCAGACCTCCCCCGTCTAGGTTGAGCTCTGGGGTGCCCCTCCTCCTATCGTCGCGTAGACTTTGTGTATGATACCTTATCGTAACTCCCGGGTTTCTTCCGACTTTTGGGTCATAAGAACGTCGATAACCGTGGGGGTGGGAAGCTCAGGATAGGGGACGTCGAGCTCGACAGGTTTATGACAAGTTACAATGCCGACCAAAGACAGATGAGGTCACGCTGGGCATCCATCTGTGTATTTTGAGCCTCAATATTTGCACGTGCACCCTGTGACACAAACTACCCCACCCACAGTACTCGTACTCGTGCTGATCTCGAGCTGGAGAAAAAAATTAACAAAGTTATTAACTTGAACAGTATTCGAGAGAACTCTCACCATGACATAGTCTTGCAGCGGAGTACCGGTACCCTTTCCTATCATAGAATGTTACCGCCGATACCGCCGTGTTCATCCCATTTCCTGTACTTAGTACCCACCCCGCCAATCCCAATAGTAGATTACCCATTTCGGAAGCTCTTCCCCCAAAACCATTTCCACCCTCGGCTGTGTCTCTCCTACTCGAGTAGACTATCATACAAACGCCCCCACCACCAAGCGTAGAGTTTATGATTACAACATGATCGATGGATCGTGACCCCGACTGCTGGTAGTAAGGTACCGTACCAAGTACAGTACTCGTACAGGTAGAGACAACCCATACCCTTCCAAATCCCAGCAATGACAGTACCGTACCGTACTTGTACTAGCCAATCACAAGGTTACATCCATGGCCCGCTTCGGTGCGATTCAATGCAGGTACGATTGGCGTGGACTTCTCTATGCTCTTTTGGTCGTGCTTGTGCTTCCAAATCCCCTCCATCTGCTTAGCACTATTTCTGTACAGTACTCGCACTCTTTTGCTTTACCGGTGCTCGTACAGGAACAAGTGCGACATGGCGCAATCAGGAAGCTGAGTTCTGTCTACTCGTACTCGAGTAGAGACAAAGTTGCGCAACTTTAGAGAGGAAATTATCGGCCCGGTCTTCCGATTAACCGGAGAATGGCGCAATCACTTTTTTTTTACGAAGTACTTTTTTTCTTTTTCTCTTTCTCTTTCTTTCTTTGCTCGAGCCTTGTACGAGTATAATAGGAAACCGCGATTTGGAAGGAGGAGAGGAAGCGAAAGCTGAAATGTGAATCACGGAGGCGGATGCATGCGAAGGATAGACTGGAAAGAACGGAGAAGAGGGGGGAGGACCTTATGCTCCCTACCTGAATGAGTGAACCAGTCATCGTAGACATATCTCGTATGATACAGTATCTTGCAATCGCGACTGGCTACCACGGGCGTACAGGTAAACATGTAGGATATACACTTGGAAGCATGATAACTTGTAATACGGATTAGTTACTGCGCCAGGTCTTGTTGATCACCTCATGCCCGCACCTCCAGCGCTCGTACTCGAGTATTTTGTACCGGTACTCGAGTACAAGACCACCACTTACGGTAAGCACTCAAGTGGAGAACAACACTCCTACCGGATATGACTTCCGGAAAATGGGATAGAGCAAAAAAAAAAAAGTTGTACTCGTATCTCCTCCATCTTAGCCTAAAATACTTGACCTTGTGTTGTGAGCGGGCACAAATTTATTCCGTGCCCTCCGCATGAAGAAGATCTTTGGCCTCGCCAAACCCCCCATGGTCCCCCATCAATTTACTCCCCTCCCTCATTGATCATCGCTTTGTGACATGATAGGGATATGATGTGAATAGGATAGGGTAAAGTCGGTGCTACCACTCTCCCCCGCCTCGCCCCACTCCTCAATGATCCCGGGTCGGGGATAATCGGTTAGGTTCACAAGCTACTTTGTAGATGCTACATGGATGCAGTTAGCATAGAGCCCAATATTAATATTTCACGACGATATGACTTACTATACGAGTAACTCCGGTTAGCTTTCGTATTCGAATCGGCTCATGACGAAACGAACGATTGATCGTCGGTCGGTCGCTGGTTGTTTATTTCGGTAGGTGGGAGCGTGGGGGTACAAGTACTGTACGGGTACAATTGGAATCGCACAGTTGACCAGTCAGCAAGTCTACAGTACCGGTATTTGATAGTGCAGACAAGCATTCGTTTCAACGCAGATCGTTTCGTTGATAGATCGACAGCACCAATTAGGAGTATCGTCGGGAATACAGTACCGTAGGCAAGGCGGTTTCCCCGTCCCTCTCTCTCCCTTGCGGTACCGGTACTAGATCGATATTCAGACGTGGGAAAGAAAAGAATACGAGAGAGTTACCTAGCCTCAGTCATATTCGCCATCTTATTGCACTTCCGGTCCAGCAGGAGCTTATCTCACGGGAGAAAAAAAGTAATTCAATATTCATTCGCAATAACTTCCCACCGAATTACTCCATCACGGTACAAGTACAAGGATAAATAAATAAAGAAGCGTCAACGAGCAGGTGCACAATAGCGTGGGATTCCCAAAAGCCCAAAGTCCAAGCCACCACAAAAAAAGCCTACAATAGACCACCGTGACACAAAGCCCAAACTCCTCTCAAAGATCCTCATCCTCCCTCCCCAATTCCTATCCTTCGTACCACGCACTTGCATCCTCCTTCCCTCTTGATCAGACTGCTTACTAAAATCGCAACCAGGAACCAGCATCATTCGAACCCCAACTGCTGGCCCACAATTTCCACGTGGCCACCCTGTCCCTGTCGATCGTGCGTGCTTGCCTGCCCAACCCATGATCACTACCGGTACGATACCGGTAGCTGCTGGTATCATACTTGTAACTAACGAACGAACCTAACACACATCCTCCACCCTCCTCCCTCCATGCCGTATTGTATTGCCGCGCAGCTCTCCAACTGCACGACGAAACCACCTCTGACAGGGGATGGAACACAAAAAAAACTCACAATTCTACACCCTCCTTCCCTCCGGGTCATGTGCAGTTCATCTCGGAAGCCACATTCGTGGCGTCTATAAGGCGCACGCGAGTTACTCGAGTATGTGGGAAGGAAGGCAAGTGACGTGAGGTGGGAACTCGCCCAAGCCTGAAGGCGCCGATGATAACTATGGTGACACGGTTGGCGCTCGGGTTTTCGCGAAAGCGAAGAATTGAATAATAATAAAAACATTTACGGCCGACGATGGCATTTCCGGGGAGCGACTCAAAGAGCCTGGGAAGCTAAGGTTCGGTTGAAGGCTACCTGTACGAGAGTAGAGCACTAGCACAGTGGAGTTCGTCTTGTGCACGGGAATTACCGCAGCGCAGAATGAAAACTTGTACTCTACGCTACCAAACATTGCATTAGTTAACGTATTAGACCAAGAAGTCAGTCAAACGTGGAAGCGAATCCGTTGAAACGCAGCCGGAAAAGTGGAAATCTAGAAATCCCAACCGACCTCCAACAGTAGCAAGTACGATAGCAAGAGGAAATTCAATAGCACATACCGGTAGTGCGTTAGATTTGCTCTTTGCCGAGCTGAGCCCGGGGGTTCGACAGTGAGAATCCGAGGAAAAATTTACAAAGCGATTCGATTCGCCAATGCGTCTGACCCGCTTCCCGGCCAGACAGGTTAACCTTTTTTTCTTCCCCTCTCTCCATCGCTTCTCATGCTCCAATTGTACGAGTAGAGAAAGGCAGGTGCTGTACCCTCCCTTCCGGCTCCCCCCATACTGCATGCCGGTACATGAAACAAATTCTTTCCTGCGCTCATCCAAAGTTATTCCGGTTGCCGCCCTTGCGTGGTTTTGGTCGGTCGAGAATCGGCAATAACAACAAGGTGGCGTTTGCCGTGGCTTGGCTTGGTTCGGTTGCTGCTACTGGTCCCGGTCCCGAGAGGGCAATTCCGAGGCCGCCTGCCTGCCTGACTCCTGCAGTTAGAAGTCTTTGCATGAGCAGAACTTTATCTCATTTTAATATTTGATTGATCAAGTGCAGGCTGCATGTCGCAGATTTCTTATCCGCTTGGGAGAAACTAAGGTCTCCTTTTTCTCTCCCTCTCGCCTTTCTGTCAAATTTTGCTGCATCGTGGTACCAATCTGTTACGTCCTCCGAGGTCTAGAGCAAGGAAACGGGGTTTTGCTAAATTGCCCTCTCTTCCCTTTCTTGCTCCTTTTCCCATCGCACTTCCCCTAATGCGTAGAAAGCGATGTCCAAAATCGAACGCATTAAGCCGGAGGAATAATTAAGAAGAGAGAGAATTTGCCAAAAGAAAGTAAAAAAAATCCTGCCACGTTTTTCATACCGGTATCCTATATTGCGAGCTCTTATACTCGTACCGGTACGGTACATGGACATGACACCCATCGACCAGGCAAATTCCGGCGGCCAGATCCGAAAACGTGTGATGTCTCATAAAGTGACAAGACTGAACGGACGGAGGGATGGTCTGTGGTTCACCTGATAATTTGAACATTCAGCAAAAAATATATCCACGTGTGACACTAGATGAGGGTCCCCAAACTCTTTTTCTTCTTCCGCTTTTCTTTTTTCACTCGTGATCCGGAATCTTTGCATACGGTACCCCTATACGTACCGCAACGTAATCCCAACGGTTCCTTTCTAATTTATTCTCATTCGTCGCCCTGCTCATTGGTGGTGCGAATTGTACTCGTACTCGTACGGTACTCGTAATTTTCTGATATTTTGGTCGTGAACGGCTACCATATGTGCCACCAAAATCTCGAGGCAAACTTGGTATCATACGGCAGCCACACGCGCCACACTTCGCATCCCCCAGCTCATTCAAGCCCCCTTTCTTCCAGGAGGCGCAACAGAGCACAGCTCGAGCAGAGTTCCTGAATTAAAGTCATTTGGCGCTTGTTTTTCTATTCGAAAAGTCCCAAATTTCGAGTTGCCATTCCATAAAATTGTATGTCCGTGCACGCCAAGAAACGAGAAATCTCGACCGAGGAGTTGCATTTTTCGACAAGAAGAAAAAGAAAAAAAAAGCAAGATATCATAGGTGCCGAATAGTTCTCAGAATCAACCAGCGATTCCATTTTGCCACAACGCCGACCCAGAAAACCCTTTCTCCATTGCTCCACATTTTCATTTCTCTTCTCCCCTCCCCACCACACACTGGGACCGGTAGTAGAGTAAGATTGGGTTTCCGGATGCGTGAAAATATTCGTCCGTCATGCAATTAAGCACGGGTGCGTTAATAAACAACTGGGTTGTGAAAAGAAGGAGAGGGGGAAAAAAAGCAGGGGAAAGGGGGTTCGGAGGCGCTGCAACGCGGGGATGAAGATGGAGATGGGGAAGGAGGAGAGGGGTATTGCTGAAATGTACGAGTACAGTAGACTGTGGCAATTTTGAACTCTGATACCGCATCTAACCACTTTAAATGTGCATTGGTATTTGTACCGGTATTTCCTTGCACAATACTGCGCCATACGAGTACCCTAGATTTTATTTCCTTATCTATATGTTGGAGATCGTGGCATAATCCTGTCATGTTCTTTTTTTTCCTCTTGTTTAATCTTATTATATTTAGGACCCGATTGCGATAATTCACCCACTTCGGTTTTCGGCCTCGGCACTCTTGCGATGTGACGGATGAAGAGGACCTTGTAATTTGCCATCGTACAGCGCATTGATGCGTAGTAGAGTACTCGTATGGTACTGATAGTACGATACACCACTCGTGCGAGCGGGAGAAGGTTTGCGATAGAAGCTTCCTTTTCCTCGCTCATGGTGATTGCGTGCGGCAGCCAACAGATTCAACTGGCCCGAAGGGTTACCATACCATAGGTGAATGGAAAAGACGGAAGGACGGAAGGAAGAATTGATGGATGGAAGGAAGGTAAGGCAAGGGAAGAAGGGGTGGCGTACGTATGCGTTTTACCCCCCTCCCCCCCCCCGAGAATTGTTTGTCTCCTCACGTTTTTTCCTACGGGTTGCCGGCCGCCTAATAACCATCCCATCTTTGCGCACTCGTGAGACGGCACATTCACTTATCCAACGCAACCAACCGACCTCAAAGGTGGCCGACGAAAATCGACTTGTTATCTTCATTCAATATCATAAATTTACCTAGCTGTACCCATCTGGTGTCCGCTGCGACATGTTATCGTAAATGTTTTCCTTTAAGAGGGCCGGAGAGACAGATAGCCTTGTCTGTACCCGAGTGGGTTGCTGTATGACTGTCTAGACTATCTATCCGTCTATCTTTTATGCCCTTCTGTCGTGCTCTCTATTACCAATCCCTGTTACACTTTTCCACAGCGATCAGAGGAGTTGAGGTAAGAAAAGAAATACTGCCCTCCAGGCCCCTCCTCCAAGCGAAACTATCCCGAGAAAAAGAAAAAAAGAAAAGCCAAAAACAAGAAACTTACGTGAGAGAGGTTTGTGAACCCTTCGTTTCTCCAGGGGGGCTTGCCAATGTTGGCTCCTGTTATCGAAACATAAACAAATATCATAGACTACCGTGCCTATCTCCTCCTCATCCACAACAAGATAGAAATAAGCAAAAAGGAAGAATACCAGAGGGATGTGTAACCAACGAATCCTCAGAGACACGGTCAAAAAAAACAAAAAAAAACATTATAAGCCATTATAAGCCAAAAACCTACAACACCCATACACTTCAAACGAACTGCATGGCATGGCGGTATGGTCCATGGCCGACCTGATGAACCCGAACGCGGGCGCATATGCATATGTGGCGGACTTGTTCGACTCGTACAAGAAAAAATATTTGCTCCATTGTGGCTTAAGGTGTGTTGTTGGGCTGGACCGAAATTTAATGGTTGAGTATCGCAGATTGTGGAATGTGGAATGTGGAGAGAATGTGAGAATCAGAGTGAGAGTGAGAATGAGAGTGAGGAAAACAAGGGCTGGAACGGGTTCCCAAGCCGTTCTGCTGGACATTGCCATTGCAGGATGCAGAACCATGGGCCTTGAATTGCACAATAGAAGGTGGAAAAGAAAAAGAAAGGAAAGGAAAGAAAGGAGAGCCACAGCGCTGTGTGATTCACTCACTGTCTTGGAGGTGCGGCTTCCTTTCTTGTTTTTTCCTTCTCCACTAGATTTTTCTTTGCATCCCCACCATTTTTGCCACCTTCGGATGGTGTGGTGCGGCTCGTACTACACGTACACCATTGGCAAACAAAAACATGTTTCGGAGGATCAGGCGAGGGAACCGGGGCCAAAGGAAAAGTAAGGGGGCGGAAGAAAAGGGAAAGAAGAAGGAAAAAACGAGAAAACGAGAAAACGTGGCATCCCGATCTCTTGTCAGTGCTTTCGTTTCGCTACCCTTAAACTTTGCTGTCACCGTGCACGGCTCGTTGCTTCTGCCGTACGCACTGCACCAATTTCTTCAAACTCTCTACAGTCTGCCCCGGTGTCACGAGGGCTGACGGGTCGAGGTTTGTTTGTAATGTCCATCTTCTGCGCGGGTACTCGCGCTGCTAAATTTTAGAATCTCGCCATGTTGATGCGGACCATAAATGTGAACAGGAAAGGAAAGGAAAGGAAAGGAATAAAGGGACAGAAAAGAAGAAAAGAAGTCTACCGCTATGTCTAGACTTTCCAGCTTCGGTTGGTGATACTCTGTTGGGAAGTTACCGGTATCATACTGGGGGAATTTTTCTATTCTCTCCTTTCCCCTCAGATTGATTAAATCCCTGACCTGGTAGATTAAAATCGTCAATCGAGCAAGATGGAGAAAAGATTGGAGGCGTTTTAGGGATTCTTCGAGAATATATCGGATGAACAAATCTCCCCTAATTGTCCCCAGCGTGGGCGCCCGTGCTATGCGCGGCAATCACACTCTTGCGGTGGTGTGCTCCACATTCCATCTGCTACCCGGCTCCCATCAGGCTGACTGACTGACAGGAAATACCAAGAGTTCACAGCTGGGGGGAGAGCTCGGATATGGTAATTGTGCGGAAAGTGCACTTCGTTTTTCCGTCGTGTACTGTACTGTACGAGTACTCGAGCATATCCCATGTCCCTTGGTACTGCATTGCACTCGTACAGTACCATATCGTGCGTTCCTAACTTCCGGTCTGGGTGGAAGCAAAGTGGTCCAGCATGGCCTGCGGTTGGTCGGCATTTCTCTGGTTCCAATCCGAGTGAGATTGAGCGAATGGCTCGTTTTGTCGGTAGTAGGAGCATCGTGGTGCCTGGGGGGATAAGGTTAGCCAGGACAGGCGGGCAGAGTACCGTACCATATCATACCAGCGGAAGGCGTGGTGACCCAACAACAGCCCATCATCAGGTTCTGTATCATAGCCTTTCCAAACAATCACCAACGGTAGTTCCAGGTGTAACCTAAAACATGACGTACCGGAAAGGCGACTTTTCTTTCTTTCCTTCCTTTTCTTTTTCCCCCTTCCTTCGTTTCCTTCCCTTCTTTTTCCCATCATTTTCATATGCTGGTGGCTCTTGCGGTACAGCACGCCGATTGGCTCGTGGGGAGAAACAGCCCTATACGAGCGAGCACTCGTGCTAACGGTTGCTCCAGTAAATTTTCCCGACTCTTCCGCACATCGTCATCCCTGCTAGCAATATAGCTAGCTCCTCCTTCGGGGCTGTGATATGGTATGATAGGAAGCAAGGAAATTGTTTCGTTTCGCTATTCGTTTCGTCACCTTAGTTCAAGCTCCCCATCCATCGTCACCGTCGCCTGCTTAGCTTAGGGCGACGTGTTGAATGAGCTTGAGTGCCACTGGGAAGTACTTGTATCATTCGATAGGTTGGTTTCATCCCATGCGGCTAGCCGTTTTCCTGGCTACACATACCGGTACCGGACGAGGTCTCGTCGGGATTGTGATGCTGTTGAGAAAAGGGGTGATGATGGTTGAATAGAAGGATTTGCAGAGATGGAAGTTTCTTTTTCCTTTCCTTCTTTGGGAGATGGGAAGGGAAAAGGGCATTCAAACGCAATCTCCGTTTTGGATAGATGGCCTAACTACAGCAATAGTACCACAAGTAACGTGCACTCTACGATACTGTGTAATCGCACAGCACGTGGACGATCTTCTATGAGATCAAAAATAATAACGTATGTAACGGATATCCGAGGCTTTATTCATTTTTCTTCTTCTTCCTTTTCAATCTACCGGTGCGGTTCCTCACCGTTTTCTCTTTTTTTTTTTGCCCACCTTTTTCTCCTTTCCATTGTTTTTGGCTCAAGGTTCGTTTGGCTTTTTGTTGGTTGCTTGTGCTGTGTTTGATATGGTTGCTAAAATAAGCTAGGGGGTCAGTGAAATTACTTTTTCTCCGCTCCCTTCCTCTTTCCATCCTTCTTTCCATTTCTAATCCTTCTTGCGGGTTTCCAGAAGTTTGTTCCTTTTTCCCCATGCCGTTAGCTGTTAAACGTTAGTTCTGTTCGATTCCTACATGTTATTATTGTGTGCGGTTGAAAAAAAGTCGCAGAGACGTTTGAACACGGTCGGTGCAAGTGTACCGGTGCCGGTAGTGCAGTGCTGTAGAGCACTTGTACTGTACTGTATCATACATTGCACAGCAATCCGTAGAAGGGAAGGGGGTTCGGTACTTGTGATGAGGGCCGGCGGCCGCCTGTCATGCAAAATTCACCATCCCGAGCCCTTGCACTGACCAGCGATGTAGATTCCCGACGAAACGGATCAGGAACCCTTTCTCTCTCTCTTCACCCACATCCTTGCTGTGAGGCGCTCACACAGGACATCATCCATATATGTACTCGTACAGTACAGCTACCGTACTTATTTTATTCTCAGGGTACAGGTTTGATACAGGCACAGTATGTAAGAGTACTATACTCGTACATGCATACATACCGTGCACAGTCCAAATAAATATATATTTTTTTGATTATTAAATTTTGCATTGGGCGGACTTTATTCCATCCCCCATGTCCCTTCCCCCCCTCGGCAGCGCACACACTTTGACGCAGAAGATCTGCTCGAGCATTGTCAAGTACAGCACGGTACTGGCCCCCTCGTTCTGTCAACTCACCCCCCTTGTACTCGAGCAGTGGTTGTGTCCAGCTGATCGGTTGGACGTCTCACTTACCAGTCTGCTAGCCCGCCTACCGTCCCCTTACACATTTTCGATTTTTGATCGAAGAGCTTTTCCCTCCTTCAACCCCTTCTCAAGGGGGTACCGGCAGTAGACTGAGCAGAGCGGAGGGGACAGGGGGGTGAAGCAGAATGGAACCCCGCCGTACAGTGCGGTGCGGGTTCCATTGAGAGGCAAAGCATGACAAGTAGGCAAGCGATGTGAGACAACAGGCAACTGTTCCTCTTCCCCCAGCCTCAGGCTTAATGGTGGATGTCGTCTGAACCTTCCAGCCAAGTTTGATCCAATTGAGTGAGGTTATTATTATTCGTTATTCTTCCGCACTTCCTGCGTTATCTCTCCCACTCTGAGGTTTCACGATGGTTACCAGTTTGTACTCAGTACCTGTTATGTAGCGGGTGTAAGACAAGAAAAGAGACATGCTCTTGCGCTTGTCGGTGGAGTGGAGTAAACTGTGATTGTCGTGAATGATTGACTGGCCTCCCTCCCTCTCTCCCTCCTCCTCTCCTCCCTAATTGAATAAAAAGTGACTCGGAACTGTAAGTCCGTGCGCCCGTTCACTCGCTCATTTGTTCGTTCGTTCGTGTCTTGCTGGGCTATGCCTGACTTGCGTGTGGTGACAACCCCATCATTGTTTCTCATCATCCTTCTTACCTCACTCACTTTCCCTCTCCCCCCCTAGCGTCCACTCTCGCATTTTTCCTTTTCCTTTCTTTTCTTTTTTCGAACTCTTTGCCCCATCTCCCATTCCATCCCATCCCATGCCCGCCCCACCCATGGGCCCTGGCTCATCACCAGCGTGGGTATGTCGTCAGTGCTCCTGCCTGCGCACCCCATCGGGGGGGGGGGGGACTTCACCAGGGGCTAGTTATTATTATTTTGATTATGATTGCTAGGACCAGACTACTTGTACTTGACTCCCACCAGTTTCCCAACAAACTGTGGTGTAATAAATAGCCTCCAAGGCCCCCCTCCTTCCCATGCACTTTTTTGTTTCCTATCAAACAAACAACAGCTCTCCATAACGACCTCCTACGCCTAGTAACTATTACCGGCGCCAAACATATCCGTCTAATCACTATCACCACCACCACCACCACGCTTTTCTCAAGTCTACAATCTGCAACCTTGAGGCATTAAGGAATTGATTGAATCCCTTTGCCCTTCCCCATCTGTACCAAGTTCAAGCCTACCACCGCTACCTCCTACCAGACGCTTGTTTGCCCCGTCCCTTCCTCCGAGGCCTCCACCACCACTACGCAGTACCGTCGGGAAGGCTTGGTTGCCTCTTGTCCTCACGACCGCCGCTGAAATTACAATCATACGAGTCCCCTTTCTGCGCTGAAACATACACTGGTTTGCCGCAGCCAGCATCCCCAAACCACAACCGGGGTCTCTTGCACACATCGCCCCCCTGTATCGCCTATTTTTGCCCGAAGATCGGTCCTGCGCCTGTTAGCGACTCGGGTTCCGTGGTTATAAAGAACCTCTCGTCCGCTTCACCGCCAGTAGCTCAGTCAATTGACTCTGCTTCAATACTCTTACTATTTATCACCTCCTACAACTACACGAGATAAAACACAAGACAAGCCTTCGAAATGCCCGCCCCAGCACAAACTCTATTGAACCCCAACGATCCCACCTCATTAAGTTCCTTGGGCTACAACTTCAACGGACCTGCCCATTCATCAGCAGGTATTCCTCCATGTCCTGGTCCTCCACCAACTAGGCCCCTTCCTCCTACTCCGAGCAAATAACCGGATCGCCTTTCTCATCCCAATCACAATCACACAAGCCAATTGATCGCTAGAAACACTCGTCATGGAATCCCGAAACAAGCGAATTCACGAGCTGGCCTCATCACCATGTCATCATACACCTCCTTGGAAGAAAAAAAAAAGGTGTAACAAACTCACAACGAAGACACGCAACGACGGTGAACAAGCATTGACGGCGAGCGGGAATAGCAGGGGGGTTTTTTTATTTTTATTGTTCGATCTGTTTGGTTTGTCCTAATCATAGGTCCCATCCCATTGGGATAGCATATATCGGGTGTTTAATTATTTTCATTCATTACTGAGAATGTCGGGGAGGATTTTACCTCTCTTTTTAATCTCATAAAAGGAAACGGAGCCTGGTTTTCATTTTTATATTTATCTATTTTCCTATCTTTTCCTTATGTGTCGTAATGTCGGGGGGGCGGGGGGGCGTACTCGTGTCTTTTGGAATTTCGGTCTCTTTATCTTTCCTACCTTACCTCATCTGTAGTAATTCACGGTCGAACCTTTTTGTATTCTCATGCTATTTTTTTCCCTCTTTATGGCGGGGAATGATGGGAAGGGGGGGTATAGTGTCAATTGGGCTAAGGGTTGACTCCATGGAAATGGAGAAGAGCGGATGCGCGTTGGTCCGCACATCATGCGGAGAAGGGGAAAAGAACCAAAAAAAAAAAAAAAAAAGACCAGAGTCTACTAAAACCAATCACCTAGGAAAAAGGATATCAATTAATCCCTAATAACTTTAATCATGTCATGATCATCAAGAAAACGTTTTGAAATCTACCAATTACTTATTGTTGACAATTCCGACTTTTAAAGTACAGTACTCGGCTTGTTTGGGGTATTGACTTTTTGAGCTACAATACAAGTACAGGATTTCTCAAATTGTACTAGCACACATGTCTCCGCACGCGCAACAATGGCCGGAAGTGCTAGTACTGTACAATACTATACCCTACTATGATACTTGTGAAGTATCATATCATGGGCCAAGTCAAGCCTGTATCCCACGCACACCCCCCCCCCACTCCATCCCCCACCATCTACACTATCGTATGGGGTACAAGCACCGCCGGATGATCGACCGGTACGATACGGTACGCCGCAGGATCACCGGCCTAACGACCGACTGACCGACCGACCGACTGACAAGCTCACGCGCCCTCCCTCTTTCTCCCTCTCCCTCCCTCTCTTGGTTATCCACTGTATTGTACAGAATTGCAGTCTGCTAATATTGTGATATTCTACCAGTACCGTACAAGGGCAGGGAACCTACCTATTAACCGGAACTGACAAGGATATAATATTATATTTGGCTGGTCGACAACATCAAGTAACTCTCCCATAGCTTCCCGCAGGACCTTGTACCAAAAAAACCTTGTACCCCTACAGTAAGAATACAAAACAATAATATAGTGCCTACGAAACTAATTTTTTTTTTTTTCGTTCCTTCC